GCCCTCGCCTGCCCAGGCTCCCCGCGCTCCCCACTCGGCTCCCACTGGGTGCGGGGGCCTGTCCGGGGAGAGCCCGTTTCTCCGCCCTGTCCACAGAGTTTATTTATGCGAAACTGCAGCCCGGGGAAAATGTGGTTTTCATCATTTGTGTGTGTGTGAACATTACATCGCATTACTCTTGCGTGTAGATCTGAAAAACTTATTACAAATATTTCTGATTCAGAGTTTGCTTGTGACGGGACTGGAATTATAAGAAAAAAGTGTTTGAATTTGTTGCAGTTCTTTTTATGGAACGTTAAGTTTTCAGGAATGTTGAGTATTTAAAGACACGTCCATAGGAGAAAATTGCTGAGCAGGTGCCTTCGTCTTATTTACAAAAAAGTCATTTTTTTTTGGAGTGTGTGGAAAGAGATCACCCATTAGGGTATTTCCTTCTCTGCTGATATAGTTTCTAAATGAACATGAGATCGATGGTGTGGAATAAGGTATAGTTTAGAGGGAACACGGTCGTGTAACCTGAGTGATGTTTAAAGGCAACCCGGCGACAGGCCGCAGCGCTGGGCGTAAAGAACGCTGGCCGGCGAGTCCGCGCAGGCGCCCGAGCTGGGTCTCCCTGCAAATTCTCAGTCATCTAACGCCTTCCACCTGGTGGAAGATCTAACAGAAATTTTACCTGATAAATGAATCCGTCGTAAACATTCTCGGGTTCAAGAGCAAACATCGGCCTGCCTGTTAATAACACCGAACCCCTTAATTACCCCTTCAGAGTATAACTGTAGACGCATCTCATTAAAGTGTAATGACTGCAAAAGCACTGAGTTTATTATTATCATCCACACGTTTCCCTCTGATAACACGTGTGGACAAATGTAGGTTTATGTACTACAAATAAATAATACAATACCTAATACATAAAAATACAAGAATAAACCGTGTTCCACGCGCTCCCATCGCAGTTTCCAGGTCAGGGTCCCCCTCAGCCCGAGTCACGTATGTGCTGCGATGTCACTAAACCTCGGTGCCGGTTTCTCGGTCTGAGCCGCGGGAGTCATACCAGCCCCGCGTACATCAGGGCCCTGTGAGAAATGTGTGAACCCACATGTGTTAACTGACTCAGCACCTATTTCCTGATGTTTACTGTGCTGGGCGTCGGGGACGAAGGGCGAGCCAAGTAGGTGACCAGGGTCCCCGGGGAGCGCGCTGCTGGGATGAGTGAGCAGCGACGTGAGCCTGGGAACCATGAGAAACGACGTGAAGTCACGGTGGCCCCGGGACGTGTTTTCCTGCCCGAGGCTGTGTCCCTGTGGGTAGAACCTGCGCCCCGGGAGTCGGGCGGTGCAGGTAACCCCCTCATTTTAACCGAGGAGAGATTAAAATCGTAGCCGGTGAATGTCAGTCGTCAGCGTGTGAAATCGTTTCTGAGCGACCGTGGGGCGGGACCTCATGTGGGATTTAACAGTTACGCTGAGACGGACGGGCCTCCTGGCCTTGGTGTCTCGCCGGGCGATGGTCAGTAGCCAGCGCGAGTGGCCGGTGGACCCGGGGTGCCTCGCCCACACTGATCGGCGTTTCTCTCCTGTGGTCCCCCTGTGACAGCTGCCTGTGGAGGGAACCTGACCGGCCCGTCGGGCGTCATCTTATCCCCTAACTACCCGCAGCCGTATCCTCCCGGGAAGGAATGCGACTGGAGGGTCAGAGTGAACCCCGACTTCGTCATCGCCTTGATATTCAAAAGGTACCGCCTCCCGCGGGGCGCCTCTGTTTAGCAGGATTGCGGGTGTCGGGGGGAAAGAGGGCCTCACGCACCCCTACAGGGAGTTTACAGCGGGCGGGTCGGGGGCACGCCCTTGCCTGGGGGCGTCCGGCCTGCTGTGTTAGGTGCCCACGAGGCCAGAGCTCCTTCCACCCGCGTCGTGCTCACACCCTGCTCCACAGGAGAAGGTTACATGGCCGAACGTCCGAGAAAATCAGCGAGGGCGAGCAGGGCCCCTCGCTGTGATTTCCCGTCGGCTCCCGCTTCTCTGGGCGGAGGGCGCGGGTGCTTTTCCACGGCTCAGCCTCCGCACGCTCCCCCGGCCGGCACCGTCATGACCCAGGGAGTCCCCGTCAGGACTTTGGCAGCGAAAGCTCCCAGAATTAGGTTGTGGTGAAGCCCCAGTTGCTAGACATTTGTTTTAAAAATTGCTAACTCCTTCCTGCTGGACGAGACGATAAACGTTCCAATATTATGATTAGTTTCTGAAAGCGCGTCCTGTAGAATTACCGCGTTATTACTACGCGATGCATAATTGCATTTTTTAAAACGCCAGGGTCTTCTCCAACTTCACGGTCTGATTTTTGAGTTTCGTGAAGTGATATTTTAAAAGCCACGTGGTCCTAGAGGCCGTCCGGGGACAGATTCCATTTATTTGTCCACCGGGGGCGCGGGTTTCCTTTCTCGGGAGTTTGCGTCGGGCTTCAGGGCCTGTGTGACGATCGGCCGCTCTCCGCCCTGTGCGGGCCGAGTCGGGATCCCGTAACCCTCAGGAGCCTGAATTCCAAGTGGCCGGAGAAGCCTTCGTCTCCGGAATTCACTCAGACCCTAAATTTACCGAACGATGACCACGTGACGGCCGCTCCGCTGCTGGAGAAAACCGGCCACGTGCCGGGCCTGTTGTTAGAAACCCTGCAGCTCTGTCAGTGCTAAACCCCGGCAGCGCCCCCCTTAAAGCCGGGGTCCCTCTGGTACCAGGAGGCTAGATGGGCAATTCGCAGACGCAGGGAGCGGGAGCCCTGCCGGGAGGAGTCTCCTACCTGGCGGCTCCCTATCCAGGTGCCCAAAGTGTCATTCACTTGTCACAGAGAAAGGAGTTGACACAGACGCTCCAGCGTCGCTGTGCCCACGTCTCCGGAAGGGGCTTGAGCTAGAAACCTCCAGGCTTCCCTCCGACCCTCAGGTCCCATGAACCCTTCGCTGACCCAGGGCCACAGGAAAACCACGCGGCCGCGTCGGTCCCTGCTGAGGACGGAGGCCCCGTTAGAGAGGAGGGACTGGAGGCCACCGGAGCGCACCGCCCGGGGCCTCTGCCTCGTTACCGGCTGCTCGGACCGCGTCCGAGCTACGCTCCAGCGTCCTGCTGGGGGGCGTGTGTCTTCGTTAAAGCCCCAGACCCTGGCCAGCCTCGCCCTGTCCATGGCAGACGTGTCGGGCCACATCCTTCCGGAGCGCTTCGGGCTGTAATTCTCGGACCCTTCGGGGTTCCCCGGGTATTGACATTAGAGGCGAGAGGGGCAGAGAGAGAAGCGCAGAGGGCGGGGGGAGGGGAGACTCAGCCTCCGAGCCCTGGTGGAAGCCACGCACGGGGCCCGGTCATCCGGGCGGGAGAGCTAATTGCGGCCTTGACAGTAAAAGCAAACAAGGAAAATTGTCTTCAAGAAAAGTCAGCACTACCTGGGGTCCATAGTCTCAAAACTAACAACATTCACGTGCAAACCGAACGTCGCCGGCACCCCACCCCCCTGAGCCCGGGGCCTTCAACCCCGCTCCACTGGCCCGTTCTGGGGCGCAGAGATTCCCGTTCTTACGGACATCTTTCAGGTTACACTGTTCGGACGTGAGAGTCATTAAAACGGGAACACAGTTGTGACAGCGGATGCCGGTTTCGGCTGCCCCTGTTCCGACGTGTTGGTCGCATTTGCCTTTGGGGTGGCCCCGACCTGTAGACTGTGGGGAGCACGGCCCGTGTGGCCGAGCCCTGCCCGGCCTAACCAGCCGTCTCCCCGCAGCTTCAGCATGGAGCCCAGCTACGACTTCCTGCACGTCTACGAGGGCGAGGACTCCAACAGCCCCCTGGTCGGCAGCTTCCAGGGCTCGCAGGCCCCCGAGAGGATCGAGAGCAGCGGTAACAGCCTCTTCCTGGCCTTCCGGAGCGACGCCTCCGTGGGCCTGTCCGGCTTCGCCATCGAGTTCAAAGGTACCGCGCCGGGGGTTCGCCGGCGGGCGCCTCTTCCCGAGGCCGCCCCGCGTCGGGCGCGCACGAGGCTGACCTCCCCCGTCTGCCGGGGCGGGGATTCCGGACGCGTGTCCAGCTCGGCTGAGACAGGAAAACGAGGAAAATGTTTCCCAGATTCGTGGCCATTGAGAAATAAATTATGGGCTGTGCAGGGAGGAACTGGATGGCAGTTAAGAATGATCTGCTCTTTAAAATACGTCTTTACCGATGTCAGAGAGAGGAAGGGAGAGGGAGAGGGAGACCTCAGTGATGAGAGTCGTGGACCCACTGCCTCCTGCACGGCCCCCGCTGGGGTCAAGCCCACCACCCGGGCCTGGGCCCCGACCGGGAATCGAACCCTGACGCCTGGTTCATAGGTCGATGCTCACCCACTGAGCCGCGTGGGCCGGGCCAGAATGATCTTAAGATGTGTTTCAGCAGCTTCTGATTTGTTTCTTCAGGACGACGCAATTTAAGTTCATCAAAACAGCTTAGGTTAGCTCAGTATTTTTCAGTGTAAACACCGGGGTGCTGGGTGGGTGACCTGCTGAGCTCCAGGTGTCGGGTGGGTGAGTTGTTGAACCCCTGGTTTTGGATGGGTGAGTTGCTGAGCCCCAGGTGTTGGGCGGGTGAGTTGCTGAGCCCCTGGGTGTTGGGCGGGTCAGTTGCTGAGCCCCTTGGTCTTGGGCGGGTGAGTTGCTGAGCCCCTTGGTGTTGGGTGGGTGAGTTGCTGAGCCCCTTGGTGTTGGGTGGGCGAGTTGCTGAGCCCCGGGTTTGGTGGGTGAGTTGCTGAGCCCCTTGGTCTTGGGCGGGTGAGTTGCTGAGCCCCTTGGTCTTGGGCGGGTGAGTTGCTGAGCCCCTTGGTGTTGGGTGGGCGAGTTGCTGAGCCCCGGGTTTGGTGGGTGAGTTGCTGAGCCCCTTGGTCTTGGGCGGGTGAGTTGCTGAGCCCCTTGGTCTTGGGCGGGTGAGTTGCTGAGCCCCTTGGTGTTGGGTGGGCGAGTTGCTGAGCCCCGGGTTTGGTGGGTGAGTTGCTGAGCCCCTTGGTCTTGGGCGGGTGAGTTGCTGAGCCCCTTGGTCTTGGGCGGGTGAGTTGCTGAGCCCCTTGGTGTTGGGTGGGTGAGTTGCTGAGCCCCAGGTGCAGCTGTCGGCTTGGTCACCGGGCCATTGTCTCCCACTCCATTTGGGACCCACCAAGCACTGCCACTCACATCCCAAGAAAGCAAACACAGATACTAACACAATGCACCTGAGCCAAGCACTTTGCTGTTGGGTCCATGGAAACCAATATATGTGCGTTTGAATCCATTTCTCATGTGAACAAAGAAAACGCAAATTATATTACAGAGAATCAGAGAGGACTCGACAAAATGCCGACTCAGGGTAGGGAGGGCTTCATAAAAATAACAGATGTGCTTCTATTTAACTCTTGAGCTAGTTATTAGTTATTAGAATTTTAAAATAGGATATATGTTTCATCTATATTAAATTTCAGTGGACTTATATTTTTTATATGGTTTTAAGTAGAAAATTAATCTATTCCCCCCAAACATCAAAATCTGCATTATTGATCTTTATTAAAATGAACAACAGAACCTTCAGACAACTCAACAATCAGAGGCATTCCTGTGCCTCTTGGACGGGGCTGGTTCATGCTCGTGAATAAATAATTGACGAGGGTTCCACTTAGCGTCTGACGTGGCGTCTGACGGCCCCTGGGTGAACCAGAGCCCACCGGGGTGCGTTGGGTGAGTGAGCGGGTGACGTGGCCTGTGCCCTGCGGGGCAGAGCTGCCCTTCTGCTCGGGTTCTTTGGCGACCAGAACAGCCGTCTCACCGAGGGCTGCAGCTCCTGACCTTTAAAAAGTTCCCTGGTGGCGTCTGTGACAGAATAAAATCCCAGAGACGGGAGACAGCAGGAGTGACGATCTGCATCGGCAAGGACAGGCCCCGGCGGGGTCAGGACACGAAGCAGACGGAGCGTCTGGCGGCCTCGCGGAGTGACAGTCTCGGGGCCGGCAGTGTCCCCCGCTGGCCCCGGGGTGGGCTCTCGGGGGTGTCCCTAAGCAATAGGGACTCGGGCGGCGGAAAAACCCACCATGTTATGAAGTCATCTCATTAGCCAGGGCGACAGCTGTAAGAAAACCGTGCCCGTGATTTATCACCAAGTGTCCCGAACTGACAGCTGGGTAAATGGAACCAAAGGATTGGACGCAGTTCGTTCCAGGAATTTAACACACTTGCCGTCGGAAATCAGACTTAGCAACACAGAGCGGGGGGCGGTGAGGGGGGATTTAACCCCACAGAAGCTAAACCAAAGTTTTATAACGAAAGGTGACGGACAAGGCGCCAGGCGGGTGCTGCAGGCGGGTACCGAGAACTTTCACCCAGTCCCAGGAGCGACGAAGGCGCCCGGCCGGCGCCGGTGCCGCGGGTGCTCCGTCCATGCTGCGGGCCACGGGCCTGCTCCGGGCTTATCTGTCCCGAATGTGGGAAATCCGTGTCCCGTGTTCTCTGTGGGCTTCGAGGCAGCTCCAGAGACTCATCACAATGTCTCCTGCCCCTCGAAATAGCCAAACGGGTTCACAGTAGAGAGATTAGAGAGCCCGGGAGGCAGCCGATCGATGTTTCTCTCATCGGTGTTTCTATCTCTCCCTTCCTCTCTCTTTAAAACCGATAAAAACATTTTTTTTAAAAAAAGAAAGACCAAAAGGTAAAGGAGTTAAAAAAAAAACTAACACACTCATGGACCCAGACAGCGGTGTGGTGACGCCAGCGGGAAGGGGTG